GCATTGGAGGACTGAATAAATAAGTAAACGTATTGATGATATTGGGGGCCAACTTCTGACTCTTGGAGAAAGAAAAAAATGGGAAAAGACTTTTAGAAAGAATCTGTGATACTTATTTGAAATTGGAGGTATCAGTATTTTACACAGACAGACTTGATATCCTAGTAATGATGAATAAATACAGCACCCTGATCTTGAAAAATACCATTCCCCACTAAAAGGAATCAGGGCTCTATAGAATCTATGGTTGGGACAGGGAATATACAANGCACAGAGACAGAAAGACATGCCAGAGGAACTAGAGCTGCGGAGTTGTCAGCTCAGGTGCCAGACAGATGAACTAACAGGTCTGACTGCAATTACATTAGAGCCTCAAGGATATATGGGAATTCTTTGTATTATTCTTGCATCTTTTCTGAATGTTTAGAATGAATTCAAAATAAAGATTTTTAAAACATTTTTAAAACATCACAAAAAAAGAAACATAAAAAAATTACTATAATACCCACTTTAAAGGTAATTAGATTATATACATACATACACATGCAGACACACACACACACACACACACACGTGATCATACAAAATTCTGTCTCTGCCCATGTTTCTAAACATTGTCTCTACCGATGTCAATTATTATCTTACCTTCTCTCATGTCATTCTGTATAGTATTCCAAGTGGATAAGCCAAAACCATTTCGTCAATCCAACTGAAAGCAAAGCTTGCTATAACCAAGAATGCAACAATGAACACCATGTTATGTACATCCGTAACACAGTTTTACATGACACCATGTTATGTACATCCGTAACACAGTTTTACATGCCATATAACGAAATAAAGCAATCAAGCATGATTTAGCTTTAAGGGATTTTCACTTATGCATGTTTTCATTTCACAGTTTTACTTCTTTGGTAAGTTAATAGTCATCGTAAATAATTTTTTGAAAAATTCAGTAAAAATCATCCCAATCCTCACAGAGTAAACCAATGTTAGCATATAAATGAATACCCTTCTATATATTATATGTATATAATCACATCTTTAAGTGCAGACTTCTATCAATTGGAAGGCTCTAACTAGTTTTCTCATGCATAATCTGAGTTCTTTTCCTGTCATTATAGACCTATATCCTCATTTTAGTGGCCATGTATTATTNCCATCTCATGAAAGACCAAGGCTGTAGAACTGATCCAGATTGAAGACTAACAAAACATGATGGTTAGATGCAGGGCATGGTACACCTTAGATTGAATCCTAAAATAGAAAATGGTATGAACATACTATGGGACAATTGGAGAATGGGAATAAACTCTGTAGATTAGGGAGTATTACTGTAAGAATGAGCATTAATCTTAAGATATGTTTACAAATCCTTTTACTCCCCCCTTGATTCTGGATGGGCTTTTGTGACTGCTTCAACGAAATGATTGAGGCAGAAGTGATAGTACTTGTGCTGACTTTTCTCAGGATACTAACTTTGAGCCACCATGAAATGTCCACTTACTGTGAAGTCACCATGCTGAAGAGGCTGCACAGAGACAGAAAGACATGCCAGAGGAACTAGAGCTGCGGAGTTGTCAGCTCAGGTGCC